CGACCGACCAGGGCCGGGGACAAACTGCAACCGAGGTACGCGCCCCCAGTGGGAACCGAACCCGGGTCTCTCAGGACCGCAGGCCGACGCTCTAACCGCTGAGCCAAACCGGCCAGGGCTGTTTTATGGTTTTTATTGCTTCTATAAATAGTATACTTTTTCTAAATTATTTTCAATAGTTTATTATTGTAATGAGGAAATGTTAATTATTTTTGTATGCTGAGGTGGTATCTGAACTCCTTGTATATTTTGACTAAATGTTTAATAGCCCAGTTCTTAGATTTTTCTTAGAAAATTATCTTTATAAAGAGTGAATTTTCACTTTTACTGGACAACTTTTCATTTTTCAATTTCTTCTTTCGTTAAAGGTTGCTGTTATCTTTATGAATTTCTTTCCTCCATATTATTTTACTTTACTTTGGTATTTTCTAGCTTCTTGAATTAAAAGCCTCATTCATTAATTTCTAACCTTTGTTTATATATATATATATATGATATATAATTATGATATGATATATATGATATATAATTTCCTCTCAGTACACCTTTAGCCATATCCCACAGGTTTTGACATATAGTATTTTTGTCAAATTCATTTATATGTGACTTATGCCTTTGATTTTATTTTTCAATTTTTAAAAAGATATTTAGAGAGAGAGAGAAAGAGAGAAAGGGAGAAAGAGATAGGGAAACATTCATATGTGAGAGCAAAACATCAATCAGTGCCCCCTACCAGCAATCAAGCCCACAACTCAGGCATGTTCCCTACCTGGGAATCAAACCCACAACTTTTGATGCATGGATGACACCCAACCAACTAAGTCACACAGGCCAGGGAGACTTTGGTTATATTTTATTCTTTAACCCAAATAATATATTTTCTGAAATCCTTTTTTTAAAAAAGGAATACAATAATTATAATAAAAAGAAATAAGAACAAAAAATAATACAACAGAACAAAAGCTAAAAAGATAATTTGAGTAGTACATATAGACATAAGGAAAAGTAGGCTTCTACATACTTTGAGACCCTAGGATCCCTCAGTTCAACTTACAGGGATAATCATTAAAAACAAAACAAAACAAAACATACCCAGCCAGTGTGGCTCAGTGGTTGAGTGTCAACCCAAGCACTAAGAGGTCGCAGGTTCGATTCCTGGTCAGGGCACAGGCCCATGTTGTGGGCCCAATCCCCAGTAAGGAGCATGCAGGAGGCAGCCAGTCAATGTTCTCTCTCATTGATGTTTTTATCTTTCTCTCTCTCCCTCTCTCTCTAAAATCAATAAAGAAAAATTAAAAAACTAAACACAATTTAAATTATACAAGGATATCTCTGAAATCATGCCCCATTTCTCACAAATTGCAGCATTTTCTGCAGTTGTTCTATACCTTACATTTTTACTTTCTCCAACATATTAAAGACTGTGTCATATCTGAATCTCTATTTTTAGTGCTACTAGTAATCGGTCCTCTACTGATGGACATTTAGTGAGCTTTAATACATTTCCTATTATAAACACTGGCTGCAGTGAAAATCCTTGGACACATACATTGGTGCTTATATTAAAAATATTATCTGTATAGCTCTGGCCAGTTTAGCTCAGCGGTTGGAGCATTGACCTGCGGTCCAGAGAGTCCTGGGTTCGGTTCCCGCTATGGCACGTACCTCGGTTGCAGTTTGTCCCCGGCCCTGGTTGGGTTGTGTGGGTGGCAGCCACTCGATGTGTCCCTTTCACGTTGATGTTTCTCTCTCTCTCTCCCTCCTACTCTATCTGAACAAAAAATGGAAAAATGTCCTCGGGTGAGAATAAAATTATATATATATATATATATATATATATATATATATATATATATATATATTCTGTATAATAGTCCTTTAAGTGAAATCACTAAGTCAAAGGGCATGTACTTAATAAAAATTTATTAGGTACTGCTAAGTTGTGAAAAAGTTGCCTCAATTTTCATTAACACCAATAGTATATATGAATCCTGTTTCATCATGCTTTACATTATCAAACTTTTAGTCTTTTCCCACAAAGTTACCTTAATGTTTTAAAATTTTCATGTCTATAGTTTTGATTGAGGTCAACATCTTAATTTTTAAGTTTAAAAGCATTTATCTTGTTTTCTGGAAACTTGCTTCTCCTGTTTCTTCGTTTTCCCAATTCCAACTGGACAAGCTTTTGGCTCATTATTTTATATTATAATTATAGAAAATTATCCGTATGAGTATACCTTTCGGGATATACATAGATTTTATTTGAGCTTAATATATGTCCAATTTTTTCCTAAACATTTCTTAAGTGTTTGAATAGGTTTTATTTATTTATTTATTTTTAATGCATTGGGGAATAAAGTTCTGGGAATAAAATTCTAAATACAGGGAGGGGCAAAAGTAGGTTTACAGAAGTTCATATGGAAAATAATACAATAATTAATAATACAACAATAAACTCTGTTCTGTATACTCACAACTGTAAACCTACTTTTGCCCCACCTGTATATTTATTTGATAAAATGTGTTAACTGAATTGTTCAAGTCCTCAATATTCTTTTTTATTTTGGTTTATTTGATCTACTGATCAAATCGATTAATATTTATCACAATAATTATGAATTTGACAGTGTATACTTGTATTTCTTAATATATTTAAAGTTGTCATCTTGGTTAAATTAAATTTAACATTTTTATTTTTTTTAGTGGATTATAGTTTTTGGTGTCATGAATTCCATTATCACTAATATTAATATTCCTGCATTTTTGTTGTGGTGGTCAGCATTTGCCTGCTATGTATTGTCCATATCTTTATTTTCAACATTTATATATTGCTATTTTTAGGGGTATCTCTCAAAAACAACATGTAACTCAATTTTTAACCTAACCTGAGAGCCACTATCTATTAATAAGAGAATTTCATTAATTAATATTTATTGTGATAACTGATATGTTTTTCTTTTTGCTTCCTTTCCTGCTTTTTGTTGATCAGTGTTTTTTTTCCTTTTAGTGATTTAGAAATAATACATCTAATCTTTTTTCTAATGACAGCCCTTAAAATTTTAAAATACACTGTTAAACATATATTTTTCCATCAATTTCTGGTGTTAACTGTTACCTATAATTTTTCTAAACAGGGAAAGAGACTTGGCAAGTTTAATTTCATTTTTCTTAGAATTTTCTTGGATTCTTATTTTCAAGTTATTAAATATTTTTATCATGCATTTTATTTTTAGACAATATAATTTATATTGATTTCTTTCCCTATCATCAGTTCTTAAATTTATTGCTTCCTATTTCTCACATTCACTGTTAATTTTGTAGCTTTACCTCCCTCAGTATTTGTTTCTCGGAGTGTTTCTGTAGGTTTTCAATGGCATTACGATTCCACCAATTAGATACAGTGATACCTCGGTTCTCGAACATAATTCGTTCCAGGAGGACGGTCGAGAACCAAATTGTTCGAGAACCGAAGCAATGAAACCCAACAGGAAATAATGGAAACTGGATTAATTCGTTCCAAGCCCCAGAAAATGCCTATTTACTGGCCTAATTTGTATATAATATGTAGAAAAACATAAGTCTCAACAAGAAATAAAAGTGTACAGTATGTCTAAGGGTTAAATTCAGTGTAAAGCGTGACTCTCTCCACAAAGCGTGACTCTCTCTCTGCACTCACACTGATGACGCGAGCAAGGCGCGCTGGGCCGAATGAACGCCATTCGGCTCAACTCGGCTCATCTCGGAAGTTCGAGTTCCAAATATTTGTTCGGATTCCAAGACAAAAGTTTCTCGAATCTCCTGGTCGAATACCGATTTGGTCGAAATCCGAGGCGTTCGAGAACCGAGGTATCACTGTACACCTGGGTTAAGATCTGAACTCAGCACTGAGCTAAGTGGGGAAGTAAGAGTAGCACATGAGATGCCTGTTTTGTTGGTATGAATTACAGCAGGGCTGCATGCTTCTAAAGCCAGGTTCTGGGGGAAGAGTGGGAAAAGCAGCGTAGTTCAAGTGATATGATTCTAGGGTTCACGTTGGGACAAGTCTCCCGATCACCCAGCTCCCTGACTGTTCCTTGGTGGGCTGGCCCAGTCTACAGAGTTCTTCTCCAATTCTTCTAATGATTTTGTAGATAGTGAATTCCTTGTAAATCAATGATTTTCTACTTATTCTAGTCAGACTGAATTCTTATAGCTGAATCATGACTGGCAGACCATCCTCGGCTTTTCCCCCTCCATCTATGCCATAGCCTGTCAGTGAATATATTCTGTCAGGTACACCTCTTCTAAGTATTTTTCAAATTATCCTCTTCTCCAGCTTCACTGCCTTAGTCCAGGCCCTCGTAATCTCTCTCCCAGACTACAGACTAGCCTCTTATTAGTCTCCATTCCCTCCATGCCCGTCTGCTCAAATAGCAGCCTTTCTAGAACATACATTTAACCACACGATTTTTGTGCTTAGTTACAAAGTGTTTTCACTTTTGTTTTCTATGGATTGCAAGGCTCTTCAAAATCAGACCAGAGTCATCTTCCTAGCTTCATTTCCTATCACTCTTCACAATCATCCCATGCTCCGATTATACGGAACTATTTCCAATTCCTGGTGCCTCTGCAGATCTCTTCCCCCATACCCTCTACCTGAGATGCTCCTACTGATTCCTGAAGAACTAGATAAAGTGTTACCTCCTTTGTGACACTTTCCCCAGTGTCCTTCCAAAATGTTGTTAGTCTCTCCTATGCTCCTCTTATATGAGCCACAGGAAACATTTTATTATAATTGCTTATCTATATATTTAACCTATTAGCTTATAAGCCACACAAGAGTGAAGACTTTGTCTTATTCATCTTTATATCCCCAACACTTTGAATAGGGCCAACCACAAAACAAACCTAGGATAAATGTTTGTGAGATACAGAAATGGCACAGTGAAGAGGAGTGTGGAATCTATTCCTTTTTCTAGTGCAACAATAATTATTTAAAAACAATAGAAATTAAAGGTTACCTGGCATCACCCAGAATTGAAATCACACGGTACTGGGGTAACTCGGAAGATGCTACATGAGCTAGCATTCCAAAGAGCCTCTCAGCCATTATGATATCATTCTGTGTCACCTGAAGAGATACAATGGGGACGGGTAAAAAATGACACTGTCTCTTAACTTGATACAACTACCATACTTCCAAAGAAATGTCCTGATTAAATATTTTCTTTTTAGTCCAGGAACGTATCTCCTGGGCTATAAGAAGAGTTCTCATTGATATTTCATTTTCTTCCCTGAGCTTAATTAGAATAAAGATGTATAAATGTGGCTCATGGTGAGGGAGGATGACTAGAAGCTGAGTTTGCACTGACTTAGCAGCTATATTTTCTGGGAAGTATACTGAAGCAACTTAGATTCTTAATGAACTTTTCAGAAACCATATAGCTTCTTGGAGTAGAATAATGAAGGGCAAGGGGGAAATTTCCAAGTGGCATTGAAATAGATTCGTTTTAATGTTTCAAAGGAAAAACAAGGTGGTGTTCTGACCTTGTTTTTATAAGGATAATTTTGTCCTTGCCTAAGAGATAACACATTGGATTAGCAAGGATACTTCTGTTCTTTATGAAGTCATGTCTGCCTTCCACGCTACAAGGATTCACTTGTCACAGGTATTCCCTATGAGGGTTTATTAAGATGTTAAACAAGAAAATACTAAAAGCAGGACTTGGATTACTATCTGGGCATATTTTCTTTAATGTGAAATAAGGTGGCTTGCATTTTAAATACTATTACTTTGTTTATATAATTCAGTGGTTCCCATCCAGGGGCTATTTTAATCCCTAGGGAACAGTTAGCAAGTCTGGAGATATTTCTGGGTGTCACAACTGGTGAAGGGGTGATACTGGCATCTAGTGGGTAGAGGCCAGGGCTGCTGCTAAGCATCCCACAATTCATAGAAGAGACACCACAACAGAGCTGAAGTTGAGAAACACTGGTATTGTTAAATTTTGAATCTTTTAAAAGTTCATTCATGACACTAGGTAAAATATACTTCACAGGCATTTTCTAAAAAATAAACCCATAAATCACAAGCATCTTATGAATCAGTACAGACTGGTCCCTTCCTTTCCCTAGCCACTCCTTTAAAAAATATACATTTTTTTTTTCATTGTTGACAGTATTACAGATGTCCCCCATTTTCCTCCCTCTGCCCCCCCTCCACCCAGCCCCTGCCCCACCTCAGGCCTTCACATTATTGTCTGTGTCCTTGGGCTATGCATATATGTATATAAACTCTTCGGTTAATCTCTTCACATCCCCTGCCCCTCTAAGATCCGCCACTCTGTTCCATGCATCCATGCCTCTGGACCTATTTTGTTTACCAGTTTATTTTGTTCGTTAGATTCCACATATTAGTGAGATCATGTGATACTGTCTTTCTCTTTGTGGCTTATTTGACTTAGCATAATACTCTCCATGTTCCTCCCTGCTGTCACAAAGGGTAAGAGATCCTTCTTTTTTACAGATGCATATTATTCCATTGTGTATATAAACCACAGCTTTTTTACCCACTCATCTACTGATGGGCACTCGGGCTGTTTCCAGATCTTAGCTGTTGTAAATAGTGCCGCTATGAACATAGGGGAGCATATATTTTTTCTGGTTGGTGTTTGGGGATTCTTAGGATACATTCTTAGAAGTGAGATTGCAGGGTCAAATGGCAGTTCCATTTTTAATTTTTTGAGGAAACTTCATCCTTTTTTCCATAGTGGCCACATGTACCAGTCTGCATTCCCACCAGCAGTGTACTAGAGTTCCCCTTTCTCCATATCCTGGTCACACTGATCAATTGTTGATTAGTTGATAGTAGCCATTCTGGCAGGTGTGAGGTTATCCCCTCATTGCCATTTTAATTTGCATCTCTCTGATGATTAGTGACTTTGAGCATTTTTTCATGTGTCTTGACCATCTGTATGTCCTCTAAAAAGAACTGGTCCTTGGCCTATTTTTACAATTGGATTGTTTGTTTTCCTTTTGATGAGTTGTATGAGTTCTTTACATATTTTGGAAATTAACCTCTTATCAGATGTATCATTGGCAAATATGTTCTCCCATACAGTGGGCTCCCTTTTCATTTTGATGCTGGTTTCATTTGCTGTGCAGAAGCTTTTTAGTTTGATGTAGCCCCATTTGTTTATTTTTTCCTTTGTTTCTCTTGCCCTAGCAGATGTATTAGTGAAAATTCTGCTGTGTGTGATGTCTGAGATTTTGCTGCCTATGGTTTCTTCTAGGACTTCTATGGATTTGAGACTTTCATTTAAGTATTTTATCCATTTTGAATTTATTCTTGTGTATGGTGTAAGTTAGTGGTCTGGTTTCATTTTTTTTGCATGTACCTATGCAATTTCCCAACACCATTTATTAAAGAAACTGTCTTGCCCTGGCTGGTTTGGCTCAGCGGACAGAACATCTACCTGCGGTCCAGAGAGACCCGGGTTTGGTTCCCGTTAAGGGCACATACCTTGGTTGCCGTTTGTCCCCAGCCCTGGTTGGGTCCTGCGGGTGGCAACCTCTCGATGTGTCCCTTTCACGTCGATGTCTCTCTCTCTCTTTCTCTCTCTCTCTCTCTCTCTCTCTCTTCCTCTCTCTCCCTCCCACTCTATCTGAACAAAAAATGGAAAAAAATGTCCTCGGGTGAGGATAAAAAAAAAAAAAAAAAGGAAACTGTCTTTATTCCATTGTGTGTTCTTGCCTCCTTTGTCAAATATTAATTGACTATAATGGTTGAGTCGATATTTGAGGTCTCTGTTCTGTTCCATTGATCTATATGCTTGTGACAACAGCATGCTGTCTTGATTGCAACTGCTTTGCACTATAGTTTGATATCCAGTATTGTGATGCCTCTAACTTTGTTCTTCTTTCTTGAGATTTCTGAGGCTATTTAGGGTCTTTTTTTATTCCATATAAATTTTTGAAATATTTGTTCAAGATATGTGAAATATGCTGTTGGTATTTTAATAGGGATTGCATTGAATCTATAGATTGCTTTGGGTAGTGTGGACATTTTAAAGATGTTAATTCTTCTAATCCATGAACAAGGTATGTGCTTCCACTGGTCTGTATCTTCCTCTGTTTCCTTTCCTAATGTCCTGTAGTTTTCTGAGAACAGGTCTTTTACCTCCTTGGTTAAGTTTATTTCTATGTATCTTATTTTTCATTATTGATGCAATGGTAAATTGGATTTTTTTTAGTTTCTCTTTTTGAGAGTTCATTATTGGTGTATAAAAATGCCATTTTTTTGGACGTTAATTTTGTATCCTACTACTTTGCTGAATTCATTTATTACATCCAGTAGTTTTTTGGTGGTATCTTCAGGGTTTTCTATGTACAATATCAAGTCATCTGCAAATAATGACAATTTTATTTCCTCTTTTCCAATTTGGATGCCTTTTATTTTTTTCTTCTTGTCTGATTGCTATGGCTAGGACTTCTAGTACTATGTTGAATAAGAGTGGTGAAAGCATAAATTCTTGTCTTGTTCCAGTTCTTAAGGGAAATGCTTTTAGTTTTTGCCCATTGGATAAGATGTTGGCTTTAGGTTTGTCATATATGCCTTTATTATGTAGAGGTATGATCTTTCTATTCACACGTTGCTGAGAGTTTTTTATCAAAAATGGGTGCTGGATTTTGTCAAATGCTTTTTCTATGTCTATTGATATAATCATGTGATTTTTTATCTTTCATTTTGTTTATATGATATATCACATTTATTGATTTGCAAATGTTGTACCAGCCTATACCCCCAGAATAAATCTCACTTGGTCATGGTGTATGATCCTGTTAATATATTGCTATACATAATTTGCTAATATTTTGTTGAAGATTTTAGCTTTCATGTTCATTAGAGATATTGTTCTGTAATTTTCTTTCTTTGTAGTGTCTTTATCTGGTTTTGGAATTAGGATAATGCCAGCCTGATCAAGAAACAAAGAGCACCCAAATAAATAAAATCAGAAATGAAAGAGGTGAAGTAACAACTGACACCACAGAAATACAAAGGATGAACATATATATGAACAACTATATGCCAACAAACTGAACCACCTGGGTGAAATGGACAAATTCCTAAAAACATACAATCTTCAAAAGCTCCATCAGGAAGAATCAGAAAACCTGAATAGGCTGATAACAGCTAATGAAATTGAAGCAGTAATAAAAAAAAACTCTCAGCAAATATAAGTCCTGGACTGGATGGCTTCAAAGGTGAGCTTTACCAAACATTCAAAGAACACCTATCCTCCTCAAACTATTCCAAAAAATTCAAGAGGAAGAAACACTTTCCTATATTTTCATAGTTAATGAGGCTGCTGCTCTGCTCCCACAAATCCTTCCTTTAGCTGACAACTAAATCGTGTGGTCTAGTATAGTCACCTAGTGGTCAGTGCAGGCCACTACTCCATTTTTTATTTTTGATGTTCATAATTCAATTTAACTCTATCTCAAGCAGTATCATTCTTACACAAAGAGAAATAGAAATATAATACATTATTATCTATTGCCATGGATGAGATAAGCAGCTTTATTTCAGGTGTTAATTAAAGGGTCAACTGTCTCTGGCTTTGACATTTTTGAAACTTTAAATAAAAATAAATTATATTGGTTCTTTCTCATTCTTTTCTGTTTCCTACAATTATAGCATATGATTCCTTCCTAGTTCTATAATAAATTATTATTTCTAGTGGTGATCCATGTCTGGGTAAGTATACTGTCCATGGTGGAACTGGAAGTAGCTTTGGAAACCTTTTGGACTAATTATTAGGTGTGACCAGGGATTCATAATCTGGGGAAGTACCAAGAGGGTACACAAGAGTACACAAGACTGAACCAAATCTCTTAAGAACTAGCTAGAGAAACTAATACTCATAGAAGGCTCCAGATTTGCCCTTATTTTTGACTGATGGTTGATACTGTGGTTGTGGGCTTACTCTGGTTGATGCAAATTTCACAATGCTTTTTACACACTGACCCAGAGACCTCCAGTCTACTAATAATATGCTGGATTTGTGGAGTTCTGGGCCAGAAGTACTTGTAGTGTATCAGCTGCAGGGAAAAAGAAGAGGCTGTTAATACCATGCCAGCAAAGTTGACTACAGTTCATTTACAATAAAGAGGTCTTCTGAATTTTAAGAGATAATCACAATAATACTAACAGCATATTTAAGATTTTTTCCTTTAGAGGATTAGTTCAGTTCACTTCAGGAAGAAGTATAATTTCTCTCTTTTATTCCTAAATAATATTTAAAGAGAACATGGTCTTTGGATGGCTGGGGGATTACCCTTGTGACCAGCTTCGCAGAATCAATTTGAAAAATAGCTTTTTATTAGTAACTTTCCAGTTATTCAGGCTCCAGGCCTGAGCTATGCAGTGCAGATATGCCACAGGCAGCTTATACAAACTACTAACGAGGTGGTCCAAACATTTATTTATGCTTCTTATACTTTTCCTCCTTCTCCTTTCTTCTTTTGTGATCATTCTTCTTTCCCTGTGTACATCCCTTTTCCCCCCATTTTGCTCTTCCCTTCTTCTACCGCTACTCTTATTAGTTGACATTTGGGTGTTATTTCTCCATCCCTTCTTGCATGCCAGGCAGTCTACAAAGCACTTTTAAAAACACAAAGATCACATTACCTATAGAAGTAATCTTTTTTTATTTTAAACTGTTATTTTACCAACTTTATACTTCTCTGAATGCTTACAAACAACAGTAAAACTATTTACTATTCATCATGACCTTGTTATTATTTTATTTTCAAAATTTGTGTAGTGCTTTATAAGTTTTAGAATAAATAGATTTTTAGCTTTTTGACATTTTAACAGTCAAGATTTGAAACAACAGTGTTTCTCAAAAGTTCCAACATGCTTACTTAAATTTCTTACCATTTGTATAACTATTTCCCTTAAAAAGGAACCCTTTTATTCCACAGTGACTTAGTGTTTAGCTTACCTCTGTCCCATTTACTTTCTGCATATTAAAATGGCTCAGCCTAAACAGTACATAGTATTTCCAGAGGGTAAAATTGACAACGGGATTTCCTTGAGGATCAATTGTCAACTGGTCAATGCGATGGAGTTGTGCTAATGCATTGAATTGCTGCAGCATTACAAGATTTGTTTCCTTGAATTTAAGGTGCTGCAATAATAAAACACACAAAAAAAGAGCTGAATGTTGTTTAACCATATTGTAAAATACTAACATTAAAACTTTATTGATCACTCTCTAAGTAAATCTGTAAACTTAGTTAATATGTTTTCTATTACATTAAGTCAATCAACTGAATGAAATCCATTAATCCATCCAATATTGAATTCATAGTGATTTCCCTTCTGCAAAGGATACCCTCCACTTAGTAACAAACTAAAATCCTTAAAAATTACATAAATACACAATAACTCATTACAATGATTTTATATACTTTTTGCTGAAATTAAAATTATAAAAGAATGATTAAAAATAAAATTTTCAGAACTTTATAAATACAGGGCTCAGAATGTTTCTGAGAGAACTAATTAGCCATTATACCTGTATCTTGCTATTTACTATGCAGGCTAGTTAAACTGGCTACAGGAAAATCAAGTCACTAAAACTGAAATGCTAATGTAAGTGTTCTGTCTGTGAAATGATGCTCTTTTCTAAACATACTGTCTGCACTTCTATCTATATTATTTAGGAGAATGATGTGGGGAGACGCTATACAAAGGCTAACAGAGACAAACACATCAATAATAATTCAAGTAAGAATGCATGTAAATCACAGTTTCTGCAAATGCATACCAATTAATAATACAATAATACCATAATTGGAAAAGGCTAACTCTAAAATTAATTTCAGTGAGCTACTAAAATTATTACAAATGTTGTGAGAGGACTATTATGAAAATTATATAAAAATGTGCATGTTCCATTAATACCAGGTACAATAAATGAATATATAATATATGGTTAAGTGAGGTCCTGTTGAATGCTTTACAAAGTAGAAAGAAACAATATGAATACAGTTATGTTAGTCCTTTATACTCCATAAAGAATCATTTTCTAGAGAGAGAATTTTCAATACTAACAGAAAGCTGCAAGGGCATTTATGAATACTACTTTAAATCGCAGGTCCAGAAAATCAACACAAAAGCTTAGTCTCCCTGCCAGATGGAAATTGCATAAGTAAGAGTTAAAAACAGGTGTTTAGCCTAAACATATAAGTCATGACTGAGAATAATTCAAATAGACTACTAAAAGGAAATGTTTACCAGAGAATTAGGGAACTTCATCTTCAATTTGGGAAGCACTTGGACTATTTCATCAAATTCTATGAAAGTGAAGGACACTGTTGTCACCATCCCTGCTGTTTGAACACTCCAATTCCGATCTAGAGATTCCAGTGCGCCTGAGCCATACAGGAAAAGCGTGTCCCCGTCCAGTTCAACAAGGTGTGTGTCTGTGACAGATAAACCTTGTAAAGCATTGGTGAGTACTGAGTCCAGAGACCTGAAAAAGTGAACATACAATTTTAAATGATAGTCTTATCATGCAAAGTAAACAACAAGACTATAAAGACCTGTTGGGAAAGGTATTTAAAATTCTATATTCACTTTTTCATTTTAATAATTAAATCCAGAGCACCAAAGACTAATTTTCAATAGAATACCTGGAAGTTTTGATTCTTCTAGTCATACATTTATTTTTAATTTTTATTGTTGACACTATTATAGATGTTCTCATCCCCCAACTTTGCCCACCTCTACCCGGCTCCCATCCCTCCCCCTCCCCTCTGGCCATCACCACACTGCTGTCTGTGTCTGTGGGTTATGCATAGGTGTTCTTTGACTAATCCCTTCACTTTCTTTCATCCAGTCTCCCCCTCTTCTAGTCATAATATTTTAATTCACAAAGAAACACATGTGAATAAAAAATACCTTTAAACCCAAATTGTTTATGTCAATGAAAGATAATTGATATTCTACTTAGTTTTAAAACAATCCATTTAATGTACCATGAATATGTTTTCATGTCAATACAAATAGGTTTTCGTAACATATAAAGTATTTCACTGTCCAGCTGAAAAATAAAAAACCACATTTTACAAAACACTGTTTCTATAGCAAGAACCACATAATACAAAAATATGTTTATAAAACACCTGGGAAGACATAAAATAACTCTTAACAATAGTTAATCTCTCAGAAGTTGGGTTAAGGGTTAACTTTGACTTTCTATTTTTTAATACTTCCATGTCGCTTAAAATTTTGCAAGTGTATACTACAATTATAAGCAGTAAAATTAATGAAGATGTCCTCCCCATTTTGAAATAAGAAATGATGAAAAACAATCCACTATTTATATAATATGTACACCTATAAAAACTCTTCACATACACTACTCAATATGATAGTTGATATTATTTCCAATGTCGGAGCCACATTTTCTGTAAAGGATACTTAAATGATAGCCAGAGAAGAAAAGAAATAGCTTGATCCAACTCAAATTTTCTGCTTTTACCTAATCTCGAGCAATGCTTGGCCTTTGTTCTGTTTTCATTCTGGTGTTTACTTTCAGATTCGCCCTGTCTGTCAGTGCTTGCTCCCCTTCGTGTCTCTGTGATTCTGTACATGCTCCAATGCTTTGCTTCTCAAACTGCCCCGTAATCACAGGTCTGCAATTCTGCCACCTCTGTTGGATAGTGAGTTCCTCGAGGCTAATGACTATATTTTTCATCTTTGGGGGTTCTGGGGCCTAGTAACGAGCTTCTCATAATGTATATTGAATAACTGCATTATTAAAGACCTTCAAAATTTGTATAATGATGCTCTTGGGGGATAAAGCTGGCAAACCATCACCCAGGTTTTACTAGACTTATGTGAACATATACGAGCCATCCCAGATTTTCAACCTTTTTCATCTCATGGCACACATAAACTAATTACTAAAATTCTGCAGCACACAAAAAAAATATTTATTTTTCGCCAATCTGACAAAAAAAAAAAGTATAATTTTGATTCATTCACACTGGATGACTACTGTTGTGTTGGCTCTTGTCATTTTTTATTTGACAACCTAAGGGAAAAGAGGTCAGTGCCCATGACTAAATAGTCAGGTACTGCATGTTTAGAAAATTTTTGTGGCGCATAGGTTGAAAGTCGCTGGTCTACACAATAACAAGCAGGCTATTATAATATAACAGCTCTAAGTGAATGTGCAACAAAAAGCCTTGATTTCTGTCAGACTAGTGCTCAAGACAATAATTATTATATAAAAATAATCAAACATTCAATGAGCAGTAGTAGATGAAGAATCTTAGAGGACAATCCTATAAAAGTAAAGGCTAATAATGGAACAAAAACAAGAAGAGAATTAAGAACTCCTTGTACTGTGCTTTGTATAATAGATTTGTGTTGAGCTATGTGGAACATATAATCATTTCTGGAATAAGAAAAAGGATAGGAGTTACATTTCACTGCTACTAAAACAAAGAAGGCTTGATGGAAAGGGTGCACACCCGTAATAGCACTGCCCACCAGCACAGCAATTACTGTTTACTTGTCTGTCTCTGTCACTAAACATGGTGATCCTTCAGGGCTCGAACTGGGTCAGATTCGCTGTAGTAGAACCAGCATCTAGCACAGCTCCTAGCACGTTGTGCACAATAATATTTCTTGTGTGAATTAATGAAGTGAGACAATTAGGACTTTTTTTTAGTATCTCCTGAATTGTATAAAGGATTCCAACCATAAGCTGTGGTTTGAGCAAAGGGCAGAATCAGTGATCCAGACACAGGTAGGGTTAGCAAGAAGTATTCTCAGGTGAGGCAAAGGCAAACAATGCAAAAGTAATGTCAAGGAAGAAATAAAAGGTAGCTAGTTGATGGAGTGATGCTTGATAGCCATGACACTCAGCAAAAGAAGTGTGTTTTAATGTAAAAATGATGGGAAATCACAGCTATGTATCAAAAACATGAATAAATCCTTTGAGAAGTGGTGTTGTTTTATATTATATATTTGGAAGTATCTTGCTTTTCTTTATCCACATGATTAAAAGTTTAAGAATATAAACTACAGATTGACCTAAGGTGGTGACTGTGGAAACAAAAACCACTCCTAATCCTAATCTCCCACCTGCAGAAGAAGAGAAAACAGAATTTAACAGGAGATTGCTAACCCAGAACACTATGCTGAACATCCCTTACAGACCAGATGGGCACTCTGTTGTTGTTGTTTTTTTAAATGATAAAAGCAAACCCTTGGCTGATCTCTGAGTTTGATCTCTAAGTTGAAGACTTTTTTGGCTCTTGTACACCTATATCCAGTTCTCTGGTAATTTAATGCCTGCCTGTGACTACTCAATTTTGGGGGGCAAGTTATTAAATTTCTTTGTAGTTTCAGTTTCCTGGTATGTAAAATGGTGACTTATACATATATTTTCAAAGTTGTTATGGAGAATATAAGTGATACTCTAAACCATGCTTAGCTCACTACATTTTAGTGATTATTATTAATAAAAGAAGAGAACATAAACATATCAAATATTTAAAAGAAAATAAAGGTAGGACTTAGTGATTGATGGCAGGGAATGAAGGAGAGGGAGGAATCAAGTGTGATTCAAATGTTTAGAGCAGGTGACTGGCTCACTTGGTCCAGTTTCCTACCCCTACCCAGTCTAAATTCATGCTCTAAGAAATGTAGTATTCTTCTATGAAGGATCTATGTTTTATAATGTGTTTTCCCATGAAGCCCAATATATTTCCCTGGATATTTTCTGACTCAAATATTATTTATATAACAGTCGGCAGTCTGCCATCAAATAGGAATTCTCTCCAAGATTATTAGTGGTTAATCCCAAGTCCAAACATTCATTTATTCAACTCAGTCTTTGTGTAGGAATGAATCAGAAAAAATATTCTATGCCATCTTGATTAGTAAAGGACTCTAAGATAGGGTAATTAATTTATACATATAAAATTTGTTTTTCCATTATAGTTGATATCCAACATTATATTAATTTCAGGTGTACAACATAGTAATTAGACATTTATATACCTTACAAAGTACAGGGTGATTAACTTAATGCCATAAAGTAATGACTCCCTGAAAATCAGGTTCAATGGAGAATATACTCTTAAACGCCTGAATGAGAAAAAAAGAATATTTCAGAGAATTATGGGTTCTTTTGGTGTATTTTGAAAACATCTTTAGGCTTTCTATAACAGGTTAGAGCAGAAAGACTTGAAATATTTCAGAAGATTCTTTTCCCAGTGAATAAGTGGTGCTGATTCCTATAATAATGTATTTTATGGATTTCTATTACAACATTTGTAGGTGTGGAAATTCACTTTATGCATACTATTTTATTATAGTAGTGTTGGCTAAAATACCACAGTGTTCATAGACAGGAAATGACCAAAAATAAACCAGCTTCACTACATGCATCCAATGTAAGCAAAATAAAAAATAAAAAAATAAAAAACACATTACACCAAGTACTTTCCCATTTCTGGCAGGGGAAAGAAACCTGCAATATGTCATTTTACTGTAAAGCTGTCCCAAGTACAGTGAACAGTGAAATCGTTAATGGGATATAGCAAAGTTTTATGGAATTTCTTCCCTGTATGTGCCTATAATTTCTTCATGGATACTTGTTTCCAGGCATTTTGTTACACACCCGTATGCCAAAGGCCACAGACAATGTAACACAGGAATTAGCCACCTTGTTGGCATTATGAAACACTGAACACTATAAATGGGATTGTTAAAAATGGAAAACCTATGTAATATTAAAAAAACAAAACAAATCAAAACCCCAAGAAAGACACTTTGTGGCCCTCTGACTAGCTTTCTATGTTCAGAAAGAGCCAGGCTTATATCATTTCAGAAAGATAAAATCTAATTATAATTTTAAAGAGTTGCAGATAATGTAGTAATACAACGTGTAATATTTAAAACACCTCAGTACTTTCAGATAAAATAACAGACAGACTGAGCACATGTGTTTAAAACCTCTCCCTCTAAGACCCCATTAAAATAATTAGAATGGTATAAACCCCCAACAACAGCAAATACAAACAGGGAGGACAATCTGTAGCAAGAAGTTTCAGCAAATTTCTGGAAGCTGGAAAGTGAAGCATGTTGAATGATGAAGGACAAAGGAAACTATAGCTTTGAATATGCCCTGGACACAACAACAAAGATGGCAGCGAACCTGCCCAGTAGAGCTTTGAAAAGACAAGAATAGTAGTTATGTTAGAAGATAGGAATGAGAAGTGACACTGAACACAGGGATATTAATTGAAGATCTAGCCTGGCCAGTGTAGCTCAGTGGTTGAGTGTTGACACATGCACCAAGAGGTCACCAGTTCGATTCCCAGTCAGGGCACATGCCCAGGCTATGGGCCAAATCCCCAGTGTGGGGCATGTAGGAGGCGGCCAATTGATGTTCTCTCTCATTAATGTTTCTATCTTTCTCTCCCTCTCCCTTCCTCTCTCTCTCAAATCAAT